CCCCAAAACCCCAAAACCCCAAAACCCCAAAACCCCAAAACCCCTTTATTATTAGGCTTTGTTGAGGCTGAAGTAATCTGATAATAATTGGACTTTTGCCAGGCATTACCAATCAAAATTAGCAACTAATTCATTAGAGTTTGTCATTTTCTTCCAAGAAGTCATGGTAATCGCCTTCGTATTGATGAGCATTCTTGAGATCTGTGTACTTAATCAATAAGTCAGTCATGACGTTATCTCCTTGATCAATTGCTCTTTGAGCATCTTCTCTTCCCTTTTGGAGGTTATTCTGAATTTGCTTCTTGCTGAAGTTGAATGGCAAAAGCCCAGAATCTAGTTTACTAGTTGGAGCAATTGTGTATCTGAAGTTTACAGTTCTGAAACCATCTTTAGCTCTTTCTAAAAGATCCATTGTGTTGTAGAAAAGTCTAATCTCAAGGTATCTAATTAACATTGGGATTGAGGTATAATCTTTAGTCTCCTTCTCTTTAATGGTAGCGGCGGTGTTCAAAATAACATCAAGAACAATATTTTCTTCAGCAAATCCCATATCTCTGCATCTGTTGATTGCATCAGCAATGTTAATTGAGAAAGAAGTTCCTCCATCATAGTATACTTCATCATCAATATCTTCGACTGGATCGAAGAATCCTGGATAGGCAGTTGATGCATCTATGGCTTTATGAAGAGTATCAAGGTCGGTGCTTTCATCCCAAACTTTTGGTCTCCCATCTCTTGCTTTCGTAGCCAATACATAGAAAGGCCTCACTGGAGTTTTCACAGTTTTTTGAATAAGCTTCCTTAAAGGACGGCTATCGTATAATGCTGTTTTGAAGAGAAGTCCTCTAACGGCGCCTCCCCACTTCCAGTTCTTATATACATCATTTGAGTCAAGGTCGTTCCAGAAATCAAGTATTTCTTGAGCGGCAGCTAGCTCATCTCCTTTTTCATGAGACGCAAGGATTCCAGCATTAATAGCTCCAATTCCTACTCCAGTGACGACATCATAATGAGTAGTATCGCTTGCCTTCTCGATTAACTGGGCTAGGGCTCCTGCTTGGTATGATGCTTTATCACCTCCTCCTTGCAGAGCTAGTGCATATCATTTATCATCATCTGCTCTTGCTGTCAAGAACAATCAGACAAGAAGAATAGAACTAAATAGGAATGTATTCATCTTTAATATTATTATTTGCCAATGTTACTCTCAAAGAAGGGGTTTTGGGGTTTTGGGGTTTTGGGGTTTTGGGGTTTTGGGG